TGACTTTTAGGTATGAAAGTACTAATAGTAAGTATACATACTCCACCAATGCTAAAATTTGCATTGAAATGTTAAGAATTTTCAAATTTAGCCTTTTGGAAAGTAAAAGAAAGAAGTCAAGTGGATGTGCAATTTTATGGAAGGTGATGAAGCAGCAAAGACAATGATAGAAAGTGATGAAGATGAAGCTTTCCTTTTGCAACATTTGAGAAATCTCAAGAACGGATAGACTACTAAGCATGACAATGCAGACGACTAGGATGAGTACAGTAATCTCCGTATGCAACCGTTTAAGTACGCATCTCAGATAACTACGTGATTTTTTTTTAATTTTTTAAAAAAGATCAACTTTTTTAAGTTTAACATGTCATGAATGGTCATTTAACTCAAGTTTTTAACTTTCTTGCGTTTCGCTTTCAAAGTGACAGCACGAACTTTGCTATGAAATGCTTCAAATAGTTGTCTAATATCATCAAATTGTTCGTTTGACTTGTCTGAACTTTTTCACAAAGCAATTAATCTTTATATTAACAACTTTCTTAAAATGACTCAAATCCCTTAAATGCGACGTTGTTTTCTAAATTTGAATTTGAATCTTGATAATCATCATTAATTATATTATCCAAATTTTCTTCCGCAATCTTCATAGTCTTCAAAATTTCTTCAACATCATCCAAAATTTCAACATAAATACTTCAGTGTTTTCATCATTGACGTAAAAAGATTCTTCAATCTCTTCTTGCCCAATCAAAAAATTGAAAGCTGTAACAGCTTATGTAACTTTGACCACTAAATACTCCATCTCATTCACTCCTTCTTGATCGGTTTTCAATTTCACTATATGTGCATTCACAAATTAATTTTTGATAGAGCTCGATCACAAAGATTGCCAAGCTTCTTTGTCATAATTCGCAGCATCAAGCAAATGAGTTGAACATCCATATGCAATTTCAACAGCATCACGTTTCAATCTCTGTTCTTTCGTTTTCAATTGATGTTTTGTCTCCTCTTCCAGTTCGTAAAAGTCGGTAACATCTTATATGAAGCACGCATGATCCCAGCTAGGGCACTGTGAAGGTCTTTGTGGATGAGATTGACATGGTTGATTGATGAGAATGTACATTTCTTCTATCTGCGATTCAATGTAGTCTTGTATGAAAGGTTGAATGCGGTATTTTTTCTTCTATCAGACACGTGCAAGTAATAAATAGAATGTTTTGTGCAGCTATGCGTGATCAGTTTTGGATATTGATTTTGAGTCAATAGAGATTTTTTTTCCTGTCATCCAACGGAAGGAATGACTGAAGACCTGAAAGGTGGCATGAAGAAGTTTCGGTTACATTGCTGGATTTTTTGTAATTCATTGCCGATAATGAATGCACAAAAAACTTATAAGCTAAACGTGAAAGTAAGAGTGTGCATGATCGTTATCTTATAGAATTTATCAATTTACTAGAGGCATTAAAGTGTGCAGTGTTGCTAGACAATTTAATTTTGATGAACAAGTTACTTGAAAGATCAAGTCCAGCAAAGATGAAATACGTGAACGCACACATAGAAGTCAACATTATGTGCTTATCAGTCAATGTTTACTAATATTGAGAATAAACTTCTTGAATAGATTGATTTAAGACGCCGAGCTTCGCTTGTTTTGATTCCTAGTATTATTTTCCACAAAGCAAACTAGATTCATAGGGGGCTGAGTTTGTATACAATATTGAATAAAATCTGAAAAAGTATGGCAGATGCTTAGATCACTTCCCCGCTGCTTTGTGTTCACAAAGCGCTTTACTCTTACGAGGCTGCGTTAACCGTAGGTAGTGATCGCAATGGAAATTACTGATGATAATTTCAAAGCATTGTGATTCTAGTTTGCAAAATTTTGACATCGACACGATTCAAACAACGTAAATTTGTTTTGAGAAGTTGGTGAGATCGATAGAAACAATCCAAAGACATTGATATCTTTGAAAGATTTGTTTTACTTGATTGATCAATATAATCCGGGATGCGTTTACAACATGGACAAAACTGGGTTGTTATTCCATGTCGTTTAACGAAATACTGTGCTAATGCCACATGAAGATCTTACCACTATTAGTGACAAAAAGTGAGCAAAAGACAAGTTAACAAAACAAAACAGAACGAGTCTTGTTCATAATGATTGGAAAGTCAAAGCAGTCTGACTGCATTGTCGGAAACACTTGATCCATTCCTTATTTTCATCACAAGAACGCTTGGATCAATGTTCTGATATTCAGTAAGTGGTTTGATGAGGTTTTTGAGTCTTATGTTCGCCAACAGAACATATGTCTCGCTGTTGTTGTTTCTTGACATGCTTGTGATCATACTACTATATTTGAGCTAAATGTCATTCATGTTGCTTCTTTCCGCCTAATGTAAACTCTTGGAAGCAACCAATGGATATGGATATCATTGTAGCTGTAAAAGAGCAATACAAGTATCTTTTGCAAAAAGATATCATCGCGTTTTATGATAATCGTGATGAAATAAAATATCAACTTGCAATAGTTGCTTTGAAACTCAAACAAGACGCTGCTGGGATTGCTCATGGAAGAACTCCACATTTACTTGATGTTGCAAAATTTGCAAATGCTATTTGTAACGACATTTATCTGAAAGTTTAATTAAAAAAGAAACATTTATTATTCTTGTATTTGAAAGTGTCCATAATATCTACTGCAATGATGTCACAATTGCTAAATTGTCGAACACGTAAGCAACTACAATCTTCATGATGGTACTAGTTAGGAGCTACATTAAGAAGTGTCTGAATGATGACAAAGAGATTTGATGATACATCCGAAAATCCTCGTTTGCTTGAGAAAATTGAAAACTCTGTTGATTTGTGATCCGATTGTTGGATTCTATTACGGTGAACTCAAACCTGACCATAATGACCTTGATATGTATAACGTGATGTGAATTCTCACACAATGGTGAGTATTATCAAGCTTGAGATTGAAATAAACGAGCTAACATGTTTCCCTTATATGTCATCGCAACAGAGTAAATGGACTAATGATGCTCTCTTTAACCTTCCTTGTGTTTAACAGCATGTTATATACAGTAAAAAAGTTGAAAGCCAATTGATCATGTTTGACTTCCATTTAAAGTGGAAAAATTTTTATACTTGAAATTTTATTTCAAAAATGAATACTTACACAAGCATATAGTGTATTATTATTTGACTCTATATATATTGAATGATCTAAACACAAATTGAATTACCTAAAATCTATTTTATAAGGTAATTCGTCTTTTGTGAACTTTTGGAAAATTATATTTGAAAGTACTTAACTTGATCTAGATTAACTTAAATTGTTTAGAATATATTTATGATTAGAATAAATTTATTTGCCTCGATTGATGAAATCCTAATGCAAGCATTTAAGTGTTAGAAAACTAACTTGAAAGAATTTTATTCAAAAGAAAACTGTAATTTTGTGCATGAAGTGTAACAATAATTTTGAATCTAAATAGAATATGTATTCATGTTGTAAATTCTTCGATACTGGACATCAAAATTGAATAGTTTTAAATTTCATGCTTTTAAAATTTATCCTTTTCGTGAAGTAGTTAAGATATCAAACCATTACAATATCCACTAGGATATATTAATGAATCAATGTCAACAATGACGATCATTATATCAAATGCAAGTGATTTTGTTTACGATACATTCTTTATTTTCAATACAAAGTGTGGTAGATTGTGTTATTCTGGATAATCCAAAAACTAAAGAAATGATATATGTTAGAAAATTGTAGCTGTGAATTTGAACTTCAAGAATTGTTTTAAAAGTTGAAAAAATCATAATTTTCTCTAAGAACAATTCTTAATATGGAATTAAAATTGTTGATATTGAATTCCCAGAATTCCAGATGCCATCCTGTCGTTTGCATAACTCGAGACCAAGTATGTCAACGCTCCTCCATGATGTCTAAAACGAATATCTCAACCAAGACCTTCCCCCAAAACCTACATACTCTAAAATACGAAGGCCAAGCAACTAGATGGATCATCTTGTTCAGATGCAAAGTCAATTCTGAGTAGGAGAAATTCGACAGGCGAGTTTCCAGTCGAAACTTGTGAGGTTAGACGAGGTTTCATTTGAACAACTTTCCACGGTGCAGTAATTTTGACCAGAATAAAATATTCGACAACGATCAGATCGATTGTTAACTCACGTCAGTAACTCCAGCGACAATTAGAATCATTGCGAAGAAAATAAAGGTTTTATGAAAAATTCCATGGGATCTACAACTAACATTGAACTGTCTGAGACAGCTCGCACCCGTAGAAGCTGTATGGGACCCTCACAGAGGTCTCTCATATCGGCAACATGCAACATGTGACAGTTGTCTTTAATACACAAAACATGTAAGTCAAACTACATAAGCGATTTAAATTTCACTGACACTCACATCCATCACCATGAGAAATATAATCTGTGGGTTAGAATTCTTTTCAGTCGATGGATAGTCTCGAAGACGGCCCTCGACATGAGGAAGCCTTGCACAGCTTGAAGTATGTCACACATACTCCAGCACCCGAGAATCTTCACTTCTGTTATCTGTCAAAATCACATTTCATTGTAACGGCAAGTTCTTTTGACGGATGCAATCAAGGAGAGAACACAACACCTGAGTCCAGAGACAAAGTTGCAAATGAAACAATCAGCAGAATGCAGACAGCTGACCGACCAGGCAACTCAGATAAAACAAGTTGCGCACCTGGTGAACTTAGAAGAATGAAAACAAAAACAAAAAAGAGAAAGTTCCACAAAATCGCGTTCATATTGGACGAACATATCCTGTACGAGAATAATAAACTTCATCCGTGAGCGAAGACAGTCAGAAATAAGTGCAGGAAAATCAAACATACACATTACGATGTGAAAAAATATCGCCTCCTGTGGTCGACATGAGAAGGTTCATCCACAGATCTAGAAACCTCTAAAGCGTGCACGGGGTTAAATAAGGATTCATAATTCTATTAACAGCCTTCACTGGCCCCACAACAACTAGCTTCAACAAACCATATGAGTATGAAAATGTTTTCATTCCGATAAATACAGAATTCCGTTGTCAGACCTGCCTTACAGTTTTGGTCCAGATTCACGGAACGGAACGGGACGTCAAATCCCACAATTTTAATTGCCTCTTTTGGTATAATGTAATCCGCTCAGTGAGGTCTCTTACTCCGCACTTTCATCGGTTTCTATATCAGGATATCCGATGTCGACATTTTACAGCAAATTTGACTAGAGCTGATTGTGGCTGAGCTGCAGCCGCAAGCAAGTCGTCTTCTTTCTCATGGGTGTGGATAGCTAACCCATCCACAAATAATGTGCTAGAATTTCTGCCTCTACCCTCTTAGGATCCACTAACCTGGCCTGACAAGAGCGAAACTATTAAACAAGACTGAGAGAAACTTGAATGTACAAACAATAACATGGAGTTTGAGGCAGTGCGGAAACCTGCGCGAAGCACTCGTATTCCTTGAGCTTGCCCTGGAGAAACACGAAGCGCACGGCCTCAGCTGCTTCTGCATTCGCCTTCTCCTCGGACTAGGACAGGCGTTGCAAATTGTACAGCACTGAAGCTATCCGCCGGGCGACGAGCGAGAGTGAACATTGAGAGTGGCGGAAACTCTGATTTCCTCAGATTTTGAATTTGTTCTTGCAGTCGATGTCCTTGAGAGTAGAGTTGCTCAGAAAAATTTGAAGCTCGCAGTAGCTATTAGACCTGGCGTTCTTCAGCTTGATGATATTGAGAAAGTTGGCCGTTCCCCTGATCTCGACCCTGGTGGCAACAGGCAGAATGCCGGAGAGAAGATCGGTGGTGAGGTTGCTATTGAAGAGATCCCCCGTAATTTTCACACTGACAGGAAGGTCTAACTGAGCACTGCTCCTGGATTTGATTTCTCCGGCCTCGATGGACGAGTCGCCAATCTCCTTGCCATGGTAGTAAATGTAAGCAGTAGTGTTCCTGTACTTGAAGCTTGCGTAATTCGGGTTCTTCACTGTCACCTTGGTGTCCAAGTCTATGCCGACCGACGGATTGGGACTCGTCAAAATGTTGGCCAAGTTCACGTCCAAGCCGTTCAGCGTGACAGAGTTCACGGTCAGCTCAGGATCCTTGGGCTTGAACACCGTGAACGCTAGAATGATGAGAATCACAATCACCAGGACGATGACTGCCGTGCAGATTCCGCAGCAGCAGAGGACGCATTTCTTCCTCGACCTTTTGCCGGGCTTCGGCTCGCGCATCGGACTCGGAACCGCGAAGGGCTCCGTCCCCCTCGACTCCCGATCCATCCCACCCTTGCCCTCTTTTCCACTTCCCAGTTCCACCTCTTTCTGCATCAATTGAATGTGCTCACTCGAGACCTCGACCCCTCTACACAACACTATCCCCTGCGGCGATCTGACAGCAAAACGCCCTCCTCCTCGTCGTCCGCGGTGCTCGCTCCAGAGTGAAGAAGATTTCTGACCACGCGGATTCCTCCAAAAAGCTCGATAGTGACAAAGTTCGAGAAACGGAGACAAAGCTCGGCAAGCTTTTCAGTTCATCCCTTTCACTCTTCTGGCGAGGGCCTCGAGCGCCCGCGGCGGCAACGACTTCCGGAGAGGGGACGGTAAGGGAGCGGGGCAAACATGCGCATGCAGCCAAGAACGCATAAATGCATGGCCGCCCCGCAACGCCTTCTGCGGGGATATAAATACGTTCGACGCGCTCCAGCTGCCCGGTCCAAAGACCCGTCATGAAAATGCGCTCAGTATCTCTCGGCGCCTCTTTCGCCTCGCCTCCCTCCCTCTCCTTCTTGGCCCCCACGGTAAGGTACGGTCCGGTCAGGTCCGGTCCTACAGGAGGACTCCTCCTCCGGGAGGAAAGGACGACGGGCGGCAACGAATGGGCTGCAGCCGTCGGGCTTGCGAATCCTCTGTGCTGCCAAGTGTCCACCGCCGATCCCCGGGCAGCGACCACTGTAGCCTCGTCATCAGCGCTCGCGACGCTCGCAGAGAGCGCGACGTCGCGATGGGATGTCGAATGGTGGAGGCTTTCGGGACCGAAGGAGCAACGCGACGCGGTGTGAGTTTCGCGGGCAGGAGTCCTAAATCTGCGGGATCGAACGTTCTCGTCAATGATACTGGGACAGACAGATGACGGTTGGTGGTGGTGGGTCCGGCCAAATTTAGAGGAATGTCCCGTTACAGGTAGCGGTTTCAACACGAAAGCTGTCCGGGGCCCCTATTCCACCCCACCTCTTATTTCGACACGGGTTCTCTGCCGTTCATCTTTTGATCCGACGGTGGCTTGACTCGATTTGGGCTGTAAAGAGGAACAAACCCCCCGGTTATCTTGTTGACTGCAGACGTTGGGAATTACTCCCCCCGAGACAGTTCCCAAGGAGACTGCGGTCGTCCCTGTCTTTATCCATGCCTCATGCCCCTGATCCCAGGTACGTACCCTGGCTAAAATTGGAGCCGACCTCTACCCGGGTCAGAACTCACTCACGTGCTGCCTTGACCCAAATCCATGTGCCCCTCGCAGCTATAGCGCTGCGGACAGCGTTCCAAATTCCTCCCCCCACTCTCCACTGCTCGAGACTCTGAGTCCGTCTTCAACGATACGGCTCCGCCCTGAGTGACGGAAGTGACTCTTTCCAACTGGTACGAGGATATGATACATCGTCTGCGTTCGTCACTTTGTACTGAGTTCCGATATTTGCTAACCAGATAAAGACCAAGGTAAGAATCGGGGAATATATATACAATGGAAATATACTCTCACAAAACGAAACGATTAGTGGAAAAAATTCCCAGTGTTTAAATTCCACAGTGAACATTATATAATTGAGATAAAGATATATGATTCAAAACGGCGATTTTTTATACGTTCTGGAAACACAAAGATTTTTCTTATGAAAAACATGCACTTGTTCTATTCCTTATGTGACATTTGTTTATCCATTATAACATTCATAATTGAATAAAATAAAATCAATCATAATTTGAATTAAAACTAGAAAAATTGAAAAAAATGCACTAATATTTTCCTTATAATAATATTTTTTCTCTCTGACTACACCTTAAATGTAGTCCTCGTGCAATTTCTGAAAAATTAAGGGTGGAAATGGACACCGAAACAAATATCATCGATCACTCGTCAATCTCATAAATAAGTGCTTTGTTAAGCTAAGCAAATGCAAAACCCAAATTATTGAATTTAAAGTAAAAGCAACAAATAGGCTCCCTCATGCATATCACGTGAGCGTCGGGCACACTCCTCAACGAATGTGAGACTAGTATGAAAGGATGGTGAATGAAGATATTTTTCTCACACTTGCAGAGCCTAGCAAAAGCAGAACTTGTCTTCAAGAATAACAATTCTTGACTCGAACCATGCATGACAAAAAATGATTATCCTTCTCGAGGCCCGCCCGAAGAAGACATACATGTCTCTGATGCAAAACTGTAAAGCTTGAAGACCTGCAGCTCCTCCACTCACATAAATCAAAGAATTACAGTCAACCCGAATCGGATTTAGATGTGAGGGTAGACTTACAAGCCATGAATGCCATGAATGGGTCGATGAGGTTCTTGTTCTAGAGAGCGGTGGTAGGTGACAGGAAATGATGTGCAGGAATGACTTGAAGCTGAATACTCGTCCGGCGGTCGGCAGAGAGGGGAGCCATGTAGTCAAACAAAGGTGCAGGTGTAGTTGCGAACTCTCTGCTTTACGTGACTGGGCTTTCGTGTCTCCTCCTCCTCCTGTTCCTTTTCGCCACCAAACGTTTAACCTTCTGAGTGTTCGAAAGTAGCTTTTTTGCTTGCTCCGAGTAGTTATTAAGCTAATTAATTTAATGAAGAAACTTAGACAAAAAATAGTTGGAAAATTTAATTTATTTATTTTCGATTATATTTAATTCAGCCGTATCGCAAAAAAGATCGGAAGACCAGCTGGAAAGAGCTCAAAGACTTTTGAGTCATCCAAATGGGAACAACAAAATAACTTTTCCTTGGTTAGATTTGCCGTTGAACGCCGCAGTGCATAATTCGGACAAGAGCATAAGCTGTTGCTGTTGACACCAACAGATTTGACAGAACTCATATTTTATGTCCTTCTTTGATGACTTGAGGATGATGAAATCTTCGTCTTATTCTCATACTCCAGAACTGGTGGATGACTTTAAAGTACGTTGTAATATGTATTTCGGATCTCCTACTTAACTAAATCTAAGACAAGACTTCAAGGAGGTAAATTGCCTTTTAACGATATTTGATGTTTTTTAGAAACTTGGGGCTTCTCCACCAACTCGGGACTTAGTCATCTTCTGCATCTGAAGAATACGAGCCACAAATCTTTCCTACAAGGAGACTAGAGTCTAGTCCTCGTCACTTATAACAGCCAAATGGCCATTCTTGCTCTAAACTTCTTTATTCGTCCTATCTATGAGAGTATCGTTTTTAGAAGCTTCGTGAAGTGCTACTGGAAGTCGAGGGTTCATAATCCCACCGACAAAGAGGTGACCATGAATTTCAAAGATAATGTCCTTCTTTCGTCGCTTCTTCACATTTCGTTGGAGCAGACTACTTACTTGTGTCTGCAATAGGAATTACATTATGTGATTATATGCTCCCATCCTATGAATTAGGCAAAGTTACACGTCATGTCAATGGATACAATCATGAATACCGTCTGCATCTGGTTAGTTTTTTAATTTTATCTGTCAAACTTTATCATTTACTCGAAAATGAAGGGGTAATATGCGTATGTGAAAAGAACTAATTTCCTGTTTCATACATATCAGACACGTGAAAACAGAATGAAGAATGAAGTTACTTATCATGCAGATTCCTAAGACTATATGTCCATTACAGTATCAAATCAGCTCAAAAAGCTATTGTTATATAGTAGTTACCAGATACATTCCCACGATTATCACTGATCAAGTCACATGTTATTCACAACTATCTTGAGCACAATTTGTCTTTGGTATAAAAATAACCAGAACTGCCTTATATTTGTCGATGATGTACATGGGAAAAATCTACCTATATGTGTTTTGTGACGGGGTCATTCAGTAGATGATAAAATTCTTAAAATCAAATACTCATCTATTAGCATTCACCTAACTGAACAATTTCCATTAGCCTTAGTTCTCTTACTGCAGGTAGTATATTGAAGTCTTTTTTATTAATAATGTGAATGATATATCAATAAAAATTTCGGCGAACATATTGATCAGTAGATACATTAAAAAAAATGAAAAAAATAATGATATTACATAATATGTTTGAAATATAAATAAATAAATAAATAAATAAATAACTAAATAAATAAATATATAACTCCTATATTGAATTTCTATCGATTTTTCATCTCTTCCGTTCCTCAAATAATTTTAATGCCTTTGAATTTTATTTTAAATAATGAGATTTCTGATATCATTTGAGCAAATGCCTTCCATATCTAAATTAAATCTAACATCTTGTCGTTCTGATAATCAAATTACATAACTTAAAATTGGTATAATTTTCAAATGGTGAGTCAGCATCTTGTATTTGATGTAAGTTTTATCTGCATGTATATTTTTTTATTAGACTAAGGATTTCTAGATGATGCAAATCTGATTTTTCAAGTGAATGTTGATAAATACCTGCCACGCCTTATATTCACCTCTATGTTGCACGATTAGGATGATTTGCACTCAATTTACAACAGTATTTAGTAGGATTTACTTATGTCTGACAAGTACTCATCCTCTCATCTTCATATTAGTTCCATTCGATGATGATTTGTCAATTTTCAATTTTTATTCTTTTCCAAATTATTTCAGATTTTGTTCGGTTCGGAAAGTTTTTTAATTTTTTCCCGAGATGATCCTCGTAGCTATGACCGAAATTTTCAGGAAAAACATGACTATATGAAAAAGTTGTATAATTGTGCGATGCACTGTCAACTATATCTAATTTTTTATCTATCACACCATTACGAACTATATCCTGTTCATGTGTAATATGTAAAAGATTTCATAATGTAAGAACATATGTAAAAGATTTCACGAACAGGACAAATAGATAGAATTACATTTGGAACGTTAAGCAGTGCAAATTTCGAGCACCGGTACTAAAGAGGGCTATGGGTGAAGTTAGCCCACAATTTGCGCCTGGAAATCTCCTCTTCATTTTCTCCACATCAGTTCAAGATAACAAGAAATCCGATACTAAACCATGACCGATTGTGATCTACTTTACGAGCAGTATATGCTCGGAACATACCAGAGAGATTCTATACTTCGTTACCAATTGTTGTGCAATGTTTCTGTTTGTATTTGGTTACAAGAAAGCAAGGGGAGTCAAGATGATTGGTGTGGAGTATCTGGATCGCAGCAATCATTATCCAGGTTGAACTCTTCCTACTCTCGACATTCTGAAACACACGAGATTCTGCACTGGGTCCGTTAGAATCTGCTCACGCGGACAAAAAGTTTACTACTTGTCGCGCTCTCTCTCTCTCTCTCTCTCCTCTCTGTGCCGGCACCCTGTGCTTCCCCCGTACGATTGACGAGAAAAAATATGAAATTCAGTTCTTCAACGAGAAGAAAGGAGCCCACAAACTTTCTTTGACTCCAAGGCCGCCGATGAGGGTCGATATCCACGTCTCCAACCGTCAACGGATGATTCATTGCCAGTCAACGTTCAGTCAGTGCGGTAGGTGCCAGGTGGGCAGTGAGAACTGGGCCCAACGAGTTCCAGCGGAGCCCTCTCGTGATTGGATTGAGCTGCTGGCTCTTGCTGCCAAACCAGAACCCAGCTGAGAATGAAGAGCAATGCCTGCGACTCAGTACACGTACTTACTGCACTGTTCGCAAGCGTTTGGGCCTCTTTCCAGCTTCCAAGCAAGGGCTTATGTTCGATCGTTACATCTGGGGCGTTGACTTTCTGGAATGGTTGACATCCTCGACGGTTGTTATTACCTCTTGTGTTGAACATCATGAGGTTGGACATTTTCATCCGTGCAAAAAAGGCGTGGAAAGGCAGTGAGCAAACCTTCCTCCTGCCCTGGAAAAAGCTTGAGCTGCACACAAGCGGGAAAACGAAAAACCTGAAAGTGGCTCAGTGGCTTCCTTCGACAGTATTTACGGTTGTCAGTTCAATGCATGAGCCGGCCACGATTCCAGCTGTTCGTTGACTACTATTTTACAGGATGAATTGAATTCGCGCTTTACACGGGATCGTCAGAGGCCCCTGAAAGGAGTGTGCTCTGGTTTTCTTCAATGAACTTGTTCTTGAGTTCCTGGAATGAATTCAAGTATCTGTCGATCAAGTCTGGGTTGTCAGCCAGAAAGTTGTGTAACTCAGCCTCTTGATATGTCAGATCTTTGTTAAGTTCCACCACGCTCGTACCCATATCGATGGATGAGTTTTCACGAGACATGTTGAGCATCGATTCTGGATACGCGAGGTTTCCATCGTCATGCTGATCTGATAGGGAATCTGAGGGTTCTTCGCCAGCCGATTGCTGCTCGTGGTAGGATGTATGGGGTGAGTTGAGCGAAAGCGACTCTCCTCGAGCTGCTTGAAGGTTCATCATATGCATACTCAGAGTCGGTAGCTTGCGAGACTTGGCAAGAGCGCTGGCAGTCTTCTGGGAGTCTACATCACCGCTCTGAGCGCTGTACATCTCCGCCACCTTCACAACATGCTTGCACAGGTCGCCCATCCGAGACCAGGCGCATGTGCAGCATGCCCACTCATGCTGCCCGTTGTACACGAGATACTCCACGTATGGTTTGGATGTGCTCCTCACCTTGGCTGGCTCGTGCCCGTAAGTCGGCAGCTCCACGTAATCGTTGGGTATCGACCTGTGCAGAGGAGGCCCAGATTAGAGTCACCTCATGGACGTAAGCACCAAATGACATTGAGGTCACGCTGGTTAGCAGTGCAAAGCATGACGTTAACTCGAAGAATATTGGTTCCCATGGAGACATTTTGGATGACAACCCAGCCCGTAGGTTGTCTGTACCTTGCTCGATGGTACGCTCCTCGAAGCAGCTTCTCCTGGTGAGCACTTCTGGAAGTTCTCTCTTCATACATGTGCTCCAGATAAAGGTACTGCGGTTCAACATCACAAATGAGAGAATCGAGCAGCCAGCTGATTCTCCGTCCCACGAGACGATCTTTGCAACAGAGATTCCTTCGTTTCAAATTGGCCAAGTAGCTGTCTATGGCAGCATTGACCCTTATGATGGCACTCGGCAGATCCATCAAACACTTGGCCCATGTGCAGATCTTTCTTGGGTCCATCCACTCCCTCTGAAAATACTCGTAAAAGCTCGTGCATGCGTATAGACATTCAGCAAACAGTTCTTCCACCAGCTCCTTAATGCAGTGTATTCGTTGTCTCCGGGAGACGTAGGCCGGGTAAGTTTTGTCCATTATGGATCCCAGTCTCTCGAATAACATCGTCCTGGTGCTCCAGCCTTTGACCAGGGCCGTCAACTTCTTTCTCCAAGTTCTCTTCACGCGTCTCAGAGACACAAATATTTGAACTTTTGAGCCCCACACTGACCTGGAAAGAGTTCTCTATGTCAGAGCACCACTCGATGATGGTCTGAGCTTACTTGCATTATAACAAATACCAACGCTGTACTTCGCTGACATCATCTGCATTAATATGAGAGTGACGGGAAAAGTCACCGTATTTCCTTGGTGCTCGAGGACAAGTTGTCGACCACGAAGGATTGGGGCTTCCAGTCGATTGAGACCTCGTGTAGAGACTGTCGCAAAGCCTCCATCCACGGCTGAGCATCGTGCTTCCTGATGTTGGGGGTGATGATCCAAGCCACCGGAATCCCGTTGTAATACTGGTCCACCACTAGAATACTGAACATTTTATACTGCACATGCAAGTTCTGGTCAGTATACAACAAGATAGAGGGGACCAAATGGATATAAAAACGATGGGAAGAAAACAAATAACGAACCATGGGCTAGCCCTGATACTATCTTCATGAGAAATATATCGTACACTATCCGAACCATCGATTTAGAATGGTCCAAAAACAACAAAAGCACATGATAACTACTACAGTTAAAAGTTCAAGTACTCGCTGTTGAGGGGCCATGAGCGATACAAAGAGAAGCGTCTCGAAGGCTTCAGGACACACCTGAAGTTTGTTAGAACCATACGTTGTTTCACACATCACAAGGGTCTCAGGACCAGCCAGCAATTTTCTCTTCTGCCATGTGGTCTGAATGCCGATAACAAACGATGCTGCACCGGCCTGGTTCCTATCATTGGCTGGCGACTGCTGTTCGAAGAAGAACACCTTATGTTTGTAGCGTTTGCTCCACATGAGAACAGCATGTTCATCTAATTTCTGAAGGGCTACTCGTCCTTTGAGGAAAGCGTCAGATATACCAGTTATATCTAGCTCACTCAGGTATCCGCCATTCGTGTGTGACGCAATGGCACCTCCTTGTCTTATTCTACTCTGCACGAGCGCTCGATGCTCGTTGATGATGTGGAGCGGTGTATATTTGTGTTCAAGTCTTGATATAACCCATTCCCTGAGAGCTGCTGAAATATGCACAGACTGTGTCGGAGTTTTACTAATACAACTTGGGTTTAAGTTCTCATGACAAGGAAACCCAGTCGCATCAACATGAGAAGTAAATTCGTATGTAATCTTAGCTACATGAGGATGTAGGTACAACCTTTTCACCTCAAAACTGCACAAACATCCTCTGTCACTAGTCTCTTTCTTTCGCATGACGAATAATGAAGAAACATTCTTGTCCTTCTTGCTCACATCAGTTCCACCAAAGGCGCAGTGATAACTGCACAAGCAAGGTAACAAATGAGTCATTTCCATTTGCCGCACAAAAAAATACACTAAATTCCTTCACAAGCAAACAACCCAGGCATGATTCTGTATTCATTCCACTCACTAGATGTGCTCCAAGTAAGTCTCCGGATCAGGGGCAGACAATGATCCTGCCACTCGCATATAGCGCTTTCTCGGGATGAAAATAGTTGGGTTAAGTGGTCCACTGCTTTCTCCTTCTATGAAGTCCTTCAGGCGACCATAGGGAATGTACGCCGCATTCTGGGTCCACTTGATATTCTCGGACGAAAAAGGCCCGGGGGCCTTCGGGTCTTGGACCCACATGGCAAGCTTGCAAGCTGGAGGATGGCAAAGAGTGGAAGGTTTAAAGTTTTCTCACTCAGGCTTCAGATAATTGACTCTACTTTGCACGACTCATCCTCCACACTTCAGCTCGAGCTAGATCCTGTCGAGATTCCCTCAGAATCATATGACGCACAATCTCTTGAGGCCTCCACACTTCAGCTCGAGCTAGATCCTGTCGAGATTCCCTCAGAAATCATATGATAAACAATCTCTTGAGCGTCTGCAACTACGACAAGCTGTTGTTGAGCGGGGAACTAGGGATGCTCCGCTTAAACGAATGAGCCTGAGCACAATTCCAGCTCAGTATGCTACGTCTGGAGCACGATGAGCTGGATCAGCGTATGCGGAAGCTTGATTGAGTGAATATGCAGGAGAATGTGGCAAGCAGTTCAGTACTTCATGCATAGAGGCCATCCAGCCTGGAAAAATATGCGACTCCGCCATCTCACTGTGTCAGAATCGAGGATTCTGATTACACACGCACCTCACTTACAAACAGAAGATCAGGTCTTTATTGACGATGAGGAAAGTGTGATGCCGACGGTCTATTTGGGTCCCAACATAGTAAGGAAGTGCTTTTCGAGGTTTTCATCTCCGGTCGAAGGCCTGAAAGATTCACAAGTCGAACGGTGGGATCTCAGTCGTCAGCAGGGAGCAGGAACTTCCAAACTATGTACTTAACAAGATAAACAGGTTTCCATACAGCTACGGTGCTTTTCGAGTTTGTCTAGTCCTGAAGGATGGACGAGGCTTGGAGCGGGGAAGCACATACTCTGTACGTCTTCTTATCTCCGTTCGTCGACGGGGCCACAGAGTGCCAGATGTCATCTTAGAAGGAAACGGGCTTCTTAGTTCAATTGTCAGATTTTCCCAGCGGATGATTGATGAAATCGGGAAATTTTTGTGTTTGGATTTCTGGATTTTCTTTCTTGCCCACATTTGACCGAATCAAGATCGATCTACGAAGAATAATGGCCCGGGATCCTTCTGAAGGTCCTGGAGTCCAACATGATTTCGCAGGAACTTTGCGCAATTGCGGGACCAATGCGAGTTTATCACGAGCGCAGCTACAGATGTTCGCATGGAACAATATGGTGTCGGCTGCACCGAAGTCCGCATCAAAAGAAGTCAGCAATTAGAAGAGAAACTTTGATCCAAAAACTCAGCAAGAAAAGCACGCCGATTGCAATCCAGCATGTTCGCACCAAGATAAATATGGACAGCTGTAAATAGAGAAGGACATTGTCCATGACCAACAACGTTGAAGGCATCCTCACCACCGTCCTCCAGCGAGAGGGTTAGTTACTACTACAGACGATCCAAGCATTACATCTGACCTCCGGCGGATTTGCAATTCCCAAAGTCATCAACCTGCTGTGACTTCCCACCTCCCAACATCTCACGTCTATCTGACGAATGAGAACCAAACATTCGACTCGGATTGAACAGACGACTGGTTACTCCGCGACCAAGTGCCAATTCTTTAGGATAATAGTCTGCTCGCCTACCGATGCCAGCGAAAACGCCGGTGATGGCACCCGATGAATCGAATGCTCCCACGAGATCAGAAGTGGGATGACGACCATAGTTTGAGAAGAACGAGCTAGTGCAGAGCAGATTACAGACATTTCGGTGTGCATACATTGAGACCAGAAAAACTAGGAGCCTCTTCAGATCGGTTCCAACTCCAGTTACCCGCTTTATCGCAATCCAGATCTTTGCCAATGCTTTCACACAGTGACGACAGAGAGCTACCACACAGCCCGAATAGAAATGGCGATCATTTCACTCCCAGCATCTTCCGGAGCGAAGAGTTCGACTCCACACCCTGCACTTGGAATCGCATTGTGTCGGCTTGCATCAGATGCTAGAAGACGGCCCAGTGATTCTGCCCGGGTGAGCAGGCAGGCGGGCAGTTTAGGGCAAACTGGCGGACGAAATGCTTTGTCAAGATTTGCAATGCCGATGAAGAAGCCAGTCGAATCGCAATGTCGGGTCGGCGCTTGCTTCTGTGCCGTGCTCCAGAACCATAGCTGTGTATTTGAGAGCTCGGCCAATCTTTTCGCGAGATGGATTGGAGGTCGTGGAGTGCACGCATGCGAGACAGGAAGACGCTGATGCGGAGAACATTTCCATGGCTGTGACAATGAATCAGACGTCTTCGCGGAGATATTAACAAGTTCGGTTTCTCCGTTATTACAAGCTTCTCGATGCTGTGCAAGTTGGAGTGATTGAGCGACCGTCCTCGCGATGCGATCAGGAAACAAGGTGTTTGCATCCGGCACCATGTGCTGAAAACAGCTCTCCAACAAACGGAGAGTTCGTGCTGGTGTCGAATTCGAAAAGCTGGAGAATTTTGGTCTCGAGATTGCGGTCGTCGTTCGACACCTCATCGATCCAAACCCCGAGTCCTCTCAAGTCATCGAGTTCCTATTCCCCACGACGATCTGTGTCATGTGCGCGTTAATTATTCATCACTGATCTTAAAAGCATTCGGAAACATCCATTCTCAGTTTAATCATACAGGGGCAGTTAAACTGTCCATGTATGATTTAGAGCGACACTTAGCATGGTTTACTAATTAATTTTAGTCTCATGATTTTATGATGACGAATTGAAAATTAACTTACAAGTGACCTACATCAGTTGTAGTAGCCATTCCAGTAAATTATTTTAGTATTTTCTTATATATATTCGAAATATTGTGTATTGCAAGTGTAGGTTGTGGTGTTTTTACCTGCACTTATCTATGAACATTTGACGTGCATGCATGTGAAATTGATAAAAGATTAGATTCTTCTAATATTTTTAATTCATTTTGTGCCTTTTTTCCTTAGCATGAATTTTCACGAAAGAGATAAAGTATTTACAATCTGATGGTAGTACTTGGGGTATCGTTATTTGACATGTCTTCTTATATGTTTTTTAGTCTTGTGCTTTGCACTTGTTAAAGATTTACAGATGATCATGTTGATGAGATTTTTCAGAATTCAAACTACTAAGCTTCTACTACTCTTGGTAAAAGTCAAACGATCAAAGTAAAACATTTTACTTCTCATCTCTAACTTACACAAATTTATTTTCCTGGAATGCGAGTAAATTGAGTACTTGACTTCACATTATCTGAACACAGAAAATTCCCAAACTTATTACATGTAAACAACCTTCGTTTATTATGAGATACTGAGGTGGTCTTTGATATACATTTTCATAACATAACTCTACAATGTTGTTTTGAGTATGTGATAAAAGATTTGATACAGAGATTGAAAATTTTGACATCATGTGAAAGAGTAGGTTTCATTAACAGACAAGAGTGAGCTTCCTAGACATAGTTGTTTTTCTTACCATGTAAGATTGTGGATAACTTCATCTTTGAGATGTATGCAAGGAACTTAGTGTAACCATCATATTTATTTTAACACTAAAAATTCATAACGACATTGGCTTTTGATATAACTTAATGATTAAGTTCTTTCCTATTTTCCTCGTCAGTTACACAAAGACCAAGATCTATTATATATGATAATTTCATCATGCAATAGATACATCGATCACTTCTATGAGTTACTCATTCGGCACACTTGCAAGGTTTTAGCACAGTTGTTTCTGTGCAATTGGGCTTTCAACTTTTATCAAATAGTTTTTACACCAATGAAATGTGTAATTTGCTTTATATATCTATCTACGTATATCAGATATGTATGTTTAGCGTTGATTCCATATGACTTATTGTTAATTTAAAATATAGAGTATTCATTTACTTCTTCACAAATATGCGTGTGCGAGTAGCTTTGATGCAGCCAATTTATATTGACGTATTGTTTATTTTGAAGAAGTTACTAACTATAAGTAGGTTCAATGGATTTGTGGTGTTTATTCTGGCATTGAAATGACTATAGTTTACATATTGATACGACCCATTTGAATTTAAATATATTTAGATTAGATTCAAAACATTTAAATATTAAAGATAATGTAAATACTTTGATTTAGTAGTATTCATAATCCTTCATATATTTGAAGATGATTAATCCATTCGCATCGATGAAATAAATGTTTGAACAAATAGTGCAAATAAATAAAAGTGAGATCAAACTTTTGTAAATCTTCATTTTTTATTATTTTGAAGTATTACTTAATTTAGTAGATTTTAATTTTTAGTAAAAAATCTTTAGAATGAAGAGAAAAAATTGTCATTCAAGAAATCTTTTTAAGATAAATTTATGAAACTTTATAATGAAAAATTAAATAATTAGCTTAAAAAAGTATGAAAATTCAACAAAGAAATTAAATAATATATTTAAAAATATAAATATAAATATAAATGCATTTTTCAAAAAAATTTAATTGTCTTTTATAACTTATCAGGACTTCCAAGCAATTTTTTTAAACAATTTTGTGCCAATATGTTAACATAAGGTAATAAAAGTATTCTAATCAGTCAAAACTTTGTAATATCATTCAAAATCAAAAGTATTTTAACTCTGATATAAATCTATCAATAAGCCATTTAATATCAATAGACTTGTGATTTGATTACAATGTATATGTCTCTAAATCAAAACAAAATCTTGAAGAAAATGAATTTGATGAGAATTTACTTGGAAGTGAAATAATCAAGCACATTAATTTCTAAGTATGAGTTCATTATATACTGAACAAGTGAACGATAATCTTAATTTACAACCAAAATTGATGTCAAAATGAATTTGCAAAATAAATTTTTTGTACAAAAGAATATGTAGTTTGACCAGATTGAACATTTTAATTTGAATATTGAAAAATCATCATAATATCGATAATACATTAAATTCGAATGTTAATCAAAATTTAAAAAAATTGAACAAAAAATTAGAATTTTTTCTTGATTTGAAACTGAGTTAATTTAAAATTTAAAATTTATGGATAAAAATTTAATATATTATCATCTATCATTTTTGTTGAAATCTTTTTCAAATACTATAAAAAATTTACTTAATGATCTTATTAGTCTCTCCAAAAAAACTTGAGTTTATATTATATCATATGAAGATCATATAAAATTTATGTTTATGAGATTATGCAATAATTAATATAAAACTAATATAGAGGAATGGGATTGACATGGCATGGCGTGGTCGGGCTCAGAATGGAAAACCTCATGTCTGCGGTGGCGAGTGCGGCCGGAACATGTGGAAAGCGGCTACGATTTGCGAGCCACCGCGGATATGGACATTGGATGAAGACTTGGTGAGGAAGTCAAGAGGCTCAAATGCCGATGGGACTCATAAACACTCGGTCCTCATGTAAATCAATTTTAGAATAAAATCGATTTTAATTTTATTTAATATATTAATTTTTTTTCAAATATATATACTAGAAATTTTAATTTTTATGTATCAATTTTTCAATATATTTAAATTTATATAAAACCTTGTTAAAATAAAATTTTGATGAAATTCATATAAAATAAATGATTAAAATACCTGTTCAAATTTGAAAGTTTAAATACTATTTTTTGCAAATGAATGGAATTAAAATAATATTTAATAAATTATTTGAAATTATACAAAATTATGTATTATTTTTATAAGAATATATAAAATCCATAAATATATTTTTATTTTTATTTGATCCATATTTAAATTCTTTCCTTTTCTATTTTTCTTATAGACTTTATTGAATTTTGAATGTTGAGATCACAAATGATTTTTATTCATAAATGAGTTTTTGATTATAATATTATTGACATTTAAAGTTTCAATGATTAACATGTTGTTTAGGATTTGAGTTAAAACCTAAAAAGTCATGCTCTGCACAAAATCATAATGTCATGACTAAGTTTCTTTATTAGTACAACTCATGGCTGAATGTGTTAATTAAACTGGTATTTAAGATTTACAAATCATAAATTAAAACGGTTGCTTACTGTTTTACATCAAACATCTTTACGTTGCAGCATTTAAATGCTTAATTGAATTACTTGTTTCACAAATTCTAAAGAAAAAAAAACCATCTACATGATGTGTATTTTTTTGATGTTAAATGCATTCTCTTTTCAAAGTTTCAAGATTGGATATGATATACTCAAGATGTATACTTGATGGAATCCCATCGGAAAGTAAACTGCTTGATGGTATCCATCAAGTTTCGTTTTACCCGATAGGACCCTGCAGACGGTATACATCACATCTATTCAAGTATGAATAGACAGTGTATTGACCCTATCACAACGCGGTGGAGTTTGCGACCCTCGATATTAGACGCTGTGTCTCAATGCATTGGAGCTTTGACTATGAATTTGTGTTGCGATCGTCATTGAATTTGTTAGAATCTATTGATAAATGCTCGCAAGAACTCGGAATCTGCACTTAATTGAATGATGCTGCTTTTCTTCGCGAGCTTGGGAGTGAATATTCCGTGAATATACCACACCATACCTCTTGACATTAGATGCTGGAGTAACTCGTAAAGTTATTATTATTATTATTGAACATTCATGCATTCCCACCATCTATCTACTTTGCCACTAGACATTGAGAAGTAGCAGAAGTCTGTATTGCTTGGCTATTGCCAAACCTTGAACGATGTTGATCGATTCGACCGTGGAATAAACACTATAGAACATACACATATTTGTACAAAACATGTATTAGAACTCATCGACGTCTTAAAAGTAAAACCAAACTTCATTCAAGTCAAACATACACACGAGACATTCATAACCTGGTTCATTCTCGGGGGTTATGTCCATGATTGAAAATTTTTTTGAATGCACAGTGGAGTAGAAACCTTAGGATATATTTATACCAAAAGTCAACGACACAAATAATTATAAATAACTATAACGTGAAGTTACTCTTTAACCAGAATTAACTTTAACAATTTCACTTTTAACTCGTGTTAAAAAAACAATAAATTCAATAATCTATATTATTACTCAACTATAAGTTCTAGAAAAAATCTCAATATAAAATTATTTTTTACACGAAAATTAACTAGATCGTAATCGAAACATAATAAAGTAATAATATAACGAGAAACTTACTTGCATAGAACATTTAGAGATATTGTAATCTATATTATTACTCCATGGAAAACTTAGACAAAAATTTTATACAAACTCACTCTTTACACAAGAATTGACTTAAATTATATCGTAGCCAGACACTTACATCTCTTGTTACTATCTACTTGTCCGAACATTCTCATTAGAAACTGCAAAATGTCTGAACGGTAAATGTGTCAATTTATTTGACACATTTGCCAAAAGCAAAAAGAGGAGATCGAATTCAGGTGAGCTCTCACTACGAGTTGAGAACTTGAGACCTCTATTTCCTGGCCAATCAATTCTGTAAAAATCGCGGCATGGTTCTTGATTACGGATTTGCAGAGCCATGAAGTGAGAAAGGTCAAACAAAGAGGGAGATTCGACAATCGCTTACATTCCAAGTGTATTAGGCTCTCGTGACCCTGACAGTATTAGACATTTGGAGGCGCGAGCCTGATTGTTGATTGTTTCAGATTAATTCGGATTGAAACAATCCGAATTAATCTGCTCGGAATTTGGGACTGGGCAAAAACCCCCAAAAAAATTGCGACTTTGGGAGGTACGAAAGTATGCCACGCGTAGACGATGCTGAGGGAGACGATCCTTTTATTATTAGAAGGGAAGAGTCATATCGAGGACACGCCACATGTACCAGGACCCGATGGACCGGTAGGGTTGCCAGCTCAGAGACAGCCGCTCCATCTCAGCAGGCGACGGCAGCGCTGCCAGCTGGTACAACTTCTGAAAGCCCTTGCGGACGCCAAGGTCGCCCACCGGGAGCACGTCCGGCCTGTGCAGAGAGAAGAGCATGAACATGTGCACGGACCAGACGCCGATGCCCTTCACGGCCATCAGGGCTTTCATCAGATCGCCGTCGTCCATCTCGCCGATGGCCGCGTCGGATAAAGCTCCCGACGCAAAGTGGGCTGCCAGGTCGTGAAGGTAGCTCGCCTTCCGCTCCGAAATCCCGACGGCTCGCAGCTGCTCCTTCGACAGCTCGGCTACTCTTTCAGGCCGCAGATTCTCTGCGCCCTGCACAATACGCGCTCCAGACGTTAGACGGTTTTCTGAACTCGCGGGATCCGCTCCAGGCGTTGGACGGTCTTTTGAACTCTAGGCGTTAGACGGTGTTTTGAACTCGCGACCTCGAGTTAAAAAAGGGAGGTGAGGGCAGTACCCCGCAGAGGACGAGGACGCGACCGAAGATGGCGGACGCGGCTTTCGTCGCGAGCTGTTGGAAGACGATGCTTCGCGCCAAGGCCGAAAATGCGCTGTCACATTTCTCGAACTTCGGGCCTTCATCGTGCATTTCGATCACACTTCGCAACCTCGCGTCGGCACGCTTCAGGTGTTCGATGGCGGCGGCCATCTCTTCGCTGCCAACCAATGTCGTCGCTGTCGTAGTCGTAGCGAGAATCGGAGCTGCTGTCGAATCGTGGTCCGCGGCGTGGTCTGCGGCGACTCCTGTGATTGAAGAAGAGAAGAGCCATTGGTCAGTGCGAGGACGAATCGAGCACCGAGTGTCAGCCTGATTACAGGACATGAAGACGATCGACTGTGCTGCCAGTTTCAAGAGATGATCATATTATCGAAAATGCCCGAGAGAAGAAAATACAATGTCTCCACCCTATCGGAACAACATCTACAACAAAGAAAAGTCTCTTTATTCTCGGCCCAATCTTGCTATTTGTACATACTTTGTGAGTGAACCGTAAGCGGGTGCTCTCGTACCTGTTGGTTCGGAAAGAGAAGAGTGCCAAAAATCCACCGTTGATGCTTTTGACGGATCTCCCGAAGTCGTTAACAGGGCCACCTCTGTCGACGTCGTGGGGACTGAAGGAGCGGCTTTCTTTCTGCGGACTTTTCGTCCTTGTGAAGGACTATCAAATAATTCTCCACTTCTTGTACCAAAGGCACCTCGTCTGGTGCGTCCTGTCTGCCTATTACTATCTTCATGGACGATACTCCCGATTTGGCCAGCGCTAGACAATAATGAGGATGCCTTGGAGTTCTCATCTTCGCCATTCTTCGATAAGGGTTCGTTGAATGGTGATGCGTGCACGGCTTTGCGTGCGCGAAAACTTATTCTTCCACGGGGTTGAGCGGGCAGATTCTTGCCCTCACCTGCGGTCGACAGAATCTCCTTGTTTGACATGCTCGACACCATTTTAGCTCGCCAGGTATGGCTCCTCCCGAAATTTAATTGCACAATTTTCGCCAGTGTGGCTTTCCTTGTTCCCGCTACAAGAGCTTGCATCTAAACAAGCCGTTTCCAGCATCCGCACCTCAGTCAACGCAGGCTTCTCCAGTACGATTGTGACCCCTCTTCTTCCTTCAACAGCAGTGCCAATTCTCAATCCTCTCCGTCTCAGTATCTCAATAGCAGGCCGTTTCTCACCAGGAGAACGCGAAGATTAGAGCATTGAGATTCCACGCTAGGCTTGTGACACCGCTACTGACACCGCACCTGCCGTGATATGGTTCAGGTTTCCTGGCGATACGGTGAACGGGGAGCACTTTCACCGTGAATGAGAGGGGGCCTCTACCGACGTACTCAGCTGGCAGGATCCAATTTCGAGGGGTGGAGTCGCCCTGGCTGCTCCAGAGCTTCGGACTCTTCGGCGACGATTCCCTCCGGTGCTGACTCCTCCTTTAGCTCTCCCTCACCTTCTATTTCGTCCACACCTCGAACCTGCTCGTCCTGATCTAAGAGATTGACAGCGCCTTCGTCTCCGTCACCTTCACCAGAATCATCGCCCTCATCCGCAACTTGTTCGAGCTCATCGACTCCGTTGTTATTCTCTTCACGTTCAATTTCTCTCAATTCAGCCGGCTGAATGTTTTTCTGCCGCAACAAACTACGGCTCAGGATTTCATCTCCCACTCGACCTAGGTCGATATCCGAGAAAATATCCAGAAGATTGCTCGCATCGTTGAGCCCTCCTGCCCCATCATCTTCAATCTCATCGGCCCTCAGGCGCAATGAAGCAACTTTCACCTGGTGTGAACTGTTCAGCTGGTAGAGCAACCATGTGAACAACACCGTTAGACTCACCAGCTGCACAAGATGCTTCACCTTCATTCCCTTAGAACTGTGATCAGAATGAGATGTTTGATACATTATGGACTCGATTTGGGGAGGAGACAGCAGAAGTCTAGCACAAAGAGCTACCAATCAAAACGACACGGCAGCACTCAAATGCACGCGACCCTCGCTCAAAAGTATTGCTCCAGATCCAAGGACAAGACACAGCCCGAACGAATGCTCTAGACCCCAGAGCTCTCGCGACGCCAATAACAGCCCCTGCCGTGCCCTGCATCCGACGAGCTGGAAGACTGGCTCACCTAGCACTTGAATGGACTATGACCGGACTATACACTCCGCATCGTCGAGAACAGCTGATAAGGCGCTCACTCACTCCAACAATGGGTCCTGAGTCTCCCCTCTCGCAAGAACCGCGAGTGATGCAGAGGTCGACCGGGCCCGGAGAGCTGGCGATGCGCAGCCCAGCAGCACCGACCTGAGCGTGTTTCTGTACGCAAGGCATCATCGTCCGTCGTCCTCCTACTGTACTCTGGAATCTCCCTGAACGTGGTCCATCCTGTACTCGTTCCTTCCTTTTCCTTCCTTCTACCTCTGAGTTGGGAGCACGTTGAATGGGACTGCATACTTGGTGCGTGGACAAACAGACCTCGTCCTTCCCTCCTATGGGCCTCGGTCTCTCTCTTTCAACCACGACAAAGTCCAACCTACCCCCACGGACTTGCAAACCCATGCAAAGGTCTTCTGTACTCGTTGCTTTTTCTTCCTATTTAAACTTATTCATACTACTTTACCGATTCTTAGTTAGAACATGGCAATATGAGGGTGGGCATAGTTGAGTGCTTAAACCTTTAAAGGTCTGGCCTCGCCTCACGACCAAACCTCCTTTCCGAGAGCCTCTTGGGATCATTTTCATAGTACGTATCTAAAAGATTGTAAAAACCTTTTCTGCACGGCAGGTGCTGGTAGAAAAAACTGTTGTAGCCTGCCTCAAATATATTCGACTAGTAACACTTGACATAGTGAGAAAATATCAGTAGAGAGTGATAAATAATTTTGTTAAAGGATTGGTACTAAGTGGTGATATAATACTGGTATGAAATAGTCCAAGTGATGATAAAGTATTGATACAAAGTTGTTCAAAATTGTGAAAGGTTCTTAGTACAAGGTGTATTGAATTGGTGAAGATTAATTAATACGAAATGGCCGAAAATTAGTGAAAAAGTATTGATAATACATTGTTCTAGAGAAACTCTAAGTGATGATAAAATATTCGACCGAAGTGATCCAAAGTGGATTTAAAGTACTTGAACAAAGTGGACCAAAGTGGTGATAACCTAATAACCTAATTTAGAGAAGAAGCTCTAAATGGTCAGAAAATACTACACCGAAGTGGTTCAAAGTAGTGATAAAGTATTGATACGAAGTGTCAAATTCAAGATTCTTAAACACCGAAGTAACTTGACATGCTGAGTCGAAGTGCTCAAGAAAGTGAAAAGCCAAAGTGTCCGATTTGTATAAGAATCTTCATCTGAGTATTTAAGAACATCTCGAGCAGTCATATCTTCATCCATTGGATCCCAAGTCCCGCGATCAATTAAAAATTCAATTCTTTCTGTACTACTCATTTGCAAATGATATCCGCAAATTCGTTTATTTCTTCTCAAAAATCTAACATTAAACATATTTTCACAATTGTCACATCTAGTTCATAACAAAATGACAAGTAAGAAAATAGTTGATGGTGAGAAAATGATGAAGTTAATCTGCTTGTATTGAACAAAAATGAGTGACATTTCGCAGGTTCAGTCCAAAAATGTCAAGGGAATCTAACTTGAAAGAAGTGAAGAATTTCATCAACGGTTAGTGGTGAGAAGAGGGAGACAAAAATATCAAAAAGAGATGGTTTGACCTAAAGTATCCATTGAAGTTTAAACCTGGAAGTAGATTTCCCTTGATACCAAGAGAGTTTTGATATTTTTCAACAATCTATTTTAAACCTCAAAAAAATTACAACCAAAGATTTGTTTAAGGTAAAAATTTCAACACATTTTAATAGATTTTGAGTAATTAATATACTCAAACTGATAACAAATCTAATGCAAAGTTTACAAATATAGAAATTTGAGAACCAAACTCATGGTTCATTTGTTATAACCACATGTGATCTCCAACCTGAAAAACTATCTCTCGATGGTGAGCATCAGCATGCTGTTTTTGTTGATTTTGAGCAATCAACAACTTCTCCTTTGCTTGGTGTAGCCCTCTATGGATATGTTTAACACACTTGTTGACCACGGTTACCTTAGTAAAAAATTCCTCTCCTTTCAAAAACTTCATCAAACTTGATGGAATAATGGTATGAACACTAGACATGAGGTAAAATGGGGACAACTTTGTGGATGCAGTTACAAAATTGTTATATACATATTTCACAAGAGTCAAAAGAGTATACCACTCTTCTTGCTCCTCTTATGTGAATGCCTATAGCATGTACTCTACATTTCTATTGGCTCTCTCTATTTGACTATCAATCTAAGTATAATAAGTAATTGACATTGTTAATTTGGTTCTTAAAAACTAAACAAAATTTTCCAAAACAAATTAGTGAAATGAGTACCTCTATCAATGATTAAGACTTTGCTTAATCCAAGATTGGCAAAAATATCATCTACTTATAATTGAGCAAGTTGTGGAACATCAATTTTTTTGTAGTTGGTTTGATGTGAATCATCACTGAATCATTTCTTAAGGAAGTTTTTTTAACTCACATAAAAAATCCATTGTGACACGTTCTCATTGTGGATCAGAGATAGGGAGAAGCTGTAATACACCAGCTGGTTTTTTATTACTTGCCTTGTTTTGTTGACAAACAACACAACTTCAAACGTAAGCCTTCACGTCCTTCCGTAGTTTGGATCAAAAGTAAACTCGTTGGATGAATTTCAATGTATTCTCCACTTCCACAGGACCTGCAATGGCTGCATCATAATTTTTTGATAAAATCATTGTGCGTAATTCTTGATCTTGTGGGATCAATATACGTTGCTTGTAGAAAGCCAATCCTTTAAACTTTTTTGCACTTCCAACTTGTAATGCATTCATTATCTCTTCATCCTCCTTTGTGGCATGTGTCATCTTGCTCCACCTATCTACTTGAATCTTCACTTCTGCAACATGATTCAAACAAGGCATCCACAAGTTATTTCTTGCTCTCCACGTACACAATCTTCATGTTGAAGCTTTGACGTCATTATACTCATCAAATTTGTGGTTTAGATAAATACTTCTGAGTTTACAAATAAACCAATGATTTATATCGGTCTCCACCACAAACTCCTTATCACCCAAGTAATGCTTTAAGTGTTTGGTTGCCAACACAATGGCTAACTACTTCCGTTCTGTCATGTGATATTTTTGTTCTGCCGCCATCAACTTTTGAGAATAGAAAGTAATTAAATGTCATCCATCCTACCGATCTTGTTGAAGTATGTCACCCATCATTGTACCTGATGCGTCAATAGCCAACTTGATATGACGTTTAAGATCATATCATTTGAGTATAGGTTTGTGTAACAAAGCATCTTTCAATACTTGGAAAGCTAACTCTTAAGTTGTTACTCATCTCCATTTTTGATCTTTTCCTAACATGGAAGTCAAGATCTGAGCTAGACGAGCAAAATCTTTCACAAATTTACGATAGAATGCAGTGAGCCATATAAAACTCTTCAACTCAATTTGATACTCAAGTGCCATCCATTTCTAAATGACATCTATATTCTCATTCATCACTTGGATTCTTGCAGCTGTAACTCTATGATCCAAATAATATATTTCTGATTTGTCAAATTCACATTTTGAAGCTTTGACATACATTTGATTATTTCTCAAAACTTGAAATACATTTTGTAAATGACCTCTATGATCATTCAAAATTTTGCTATACATCAATATATTATCTAGTAAACTAATGACACATTTATCTTGAAAAGTACGAAAGATATCATTCATCAATCTCATGAATGTAGTTGATGCATTAGTGAGATGAAAAAACATCACTAGATATTCAAAGTGGTCATACCTAGTTCAAAAAGCTGTCTTGTGTACATCTTCATATACAATTTGAATTTGGTTCTAGTCATTTTCAAATCTAAATTGGTGAAGAGATAATATCATTGGTGAGATAATGCATATTTTTTTTCAATGTTTGTTGATTCAACCCCCAATAGTTAATGCATAGTCTCATGGATCCATTCTTCTTCTTCTTCACAAAGAACATTTGAGCTCCATAAAATGAAACATTTGGTGGAATGAATCACTTGCTCAACATCTACTCCACTTGAGCTTTGCATCCTTCCAATTCATTTGAAGCCAAACGACATAGAGCTTTGTAAGTTTATGTACTTCCATGTATCAACTCTATCTTGTGATCTACTCGCCTTTTCGATGTTAATCTTGCAGGTAGATCATTTAGAAAAACATATTTATACTTCATAAAATGTCGTTCAAGAACAACAAGATGTAAATTTTGTCCAGTTTTTTGGTGTTTTGCATTTTTTGTCATCTATCTAAGTTTCACATAGAGTGCAATCAAGTGGTAGAGAGGTTGAGTAATTAGATTTGGATAAAAAAACGACGTCGATGTACTTCGGAGGAGTAGATGACTTGATCTTCCTATGTTATGAATTGAAAATAGTCAACTAACAATGAGGCAACATAACACCCGGCCTACTGTTTGTGCATCCATGAAGGTGTATAACATGCAGTTGTATATAGGGCTACTTGGGAGATATAGGAACCTAACCGTTAGCTAAAAGAACAAGTTGTGGTACTTTTGAATGTGTACGCTGTTGTGTCCTATATGTGTGTGTGAGTAGCATGTCAGCGATGTAGAATGTACGACAATACATATTCGCACGACATCTGTTTGCCCGTATGGCAATTCAATTTCCTCACTCACGTTGTTCATCAACATCAAACCTAACTTTTTAGCAACCTTGATAGAAAATTCTCTATTGCTCTAGAATCAATTGGAACTCTCACATTGTGTCTTTCCATTAAACTATCAATGGCAATAAGTTGAGCTTGCTTCTTACTCCTTTCATGAGCTCCCATCCATTGACTTCTTCCAACCTCGCCTTATCTTCGCTTTCTAAAATCAATAAGGCCGCGAGGCAAGTTTAATGATGATTTTCGTATCTCAAAACTTCTTCCTCAACCTCTTCATAGTTAATTCCCTCCATGTTGTTGAACAGTCGTTGTTGTATGGACCATCCTTCTTGTGGTGCCTATCCAATTCAGCAAAACTTGGCAATGTGATCCATTTGTTCACATGCATAGCATGAGTTTGTTTCATTCATATCCATGATACATATTTGAAGATCACAAAATTTTTCAATATACCCATGGATATTTCCTTTTTGCTTCAAATTCCACAACTTCATTCTTGCAGTTTGAAGAG